AAAAAAAAAAAAAAAAAAAAAAAAAAAAAAAAAAAAAAAAAAACATTGATGATAGAAAAAGGCGACCGATCATTTTCGTGTAAGGTAAAATCAAATGAATATGTAATTAAAAATATAACAAATTTTAAAATATTACAAAAAAAAAAATCATAATAATAAATAAAAAGTTGTGATATTTTTTAAAAAAATATTAATGAAAATGAAAGAATACGGTTTGTCAATAATAAATCCAATGGCCCTTTCCATTTTGAAGATGAAATTTGGAGGGCCATCGGAATTTTAGTTTCTAAAAAAGTATATTCTATAGTCTCAAAATATCTCGGAAACGAGTAGTTGTAACGACCCGACCTCTCTGACGATCATTATTGTTGGATGATGAAAGTCCCACATCGGTTAATTTAGGGAATGATCATGGGTTTATAATCTAAGAATACACTCTTTATTGGTATGAGGCCTTTTGAGAAGCCCAAAGCAAAGCCATGAGCACTTATGCTCAAAGTGAAATGGACAATATTGTACCATTGTGGAGAGTCGTGTTCGTCTAACAATTATTACATGTTTGTTAGTAAAATTTTGTAGACAACAACTCCATTTAACTCTTGAGTAAAATCAATGTTTTGGAAAAAACTAGAACACAACGTTAGATTAAGACAAATTAAAATATCCCGAACATGCAATAAAGAATGAAACATGTTGATACGATCCTCATGACTAAATTAGCACACATCCCGCCACTTGCCCAATACGTTCTTGTCGTTACCTAGAAAGAAAAAAAAACCATCGTTGCAAGGAATCTCGGGGTGTTATAACCCAAACAAACTGTGCTTATGAAGCTGAGGGTGTGACAAGGAAGAAAGACAAGCCTATGACTAAATCTATGTCGTATAAGATGTTTGATGAAGAGAACTTCACAACGTGATCAAATACCACAATAGAAGAGGTGAGGTGAGGTAGCCATAGCAAGAAATAGAGCCCAAAATTTCTTATTAAGAACAGTGTGAGGTGAACTTATGATATCAATCAATAATGCACCATGAAGTGATTGGACAAGATAAAATGAGACATGATGCAGCTAAATTCTCAGTTTTGACTGACCTTGATGATTGTTGTTTCATATTATTAGTGTGAGGTGACCTTGATGAAGCTTTCCATGGTGTCCACTTACAACAATGGTTGGCTCCTCACCTACATCCTGCAAGATCAATACAATCTAGATGCCTCAACTCCAGCAAGTTTTTGTACCCATGGCTAGCAGGTATTTTTCTCTTTGACCTGTTATGTATTACCGTCAGCTTTACGATTTTAATACGTGTTTTCTAAGAAGAGGTTTCCACCCCCTTATAAGGAGTGTGTTGTTCCCCTCTCCAACCGACGTAGGATCTCACAATCCTCCTCCTTAGGGGCCTAACGTCATCACTTGCACACAGACTAGTGTCTAGCTCTCATACCATTTTGTAACAGTTCAAACTCAGCGTTAGCAGATATTGTGTTCTTTGGTATTTTACGTATTGTCGTTAACTTCACGATGTTAATACACGTTTGCTAGGGAGAGATTCCACATCTTATAATAAATGTTTCGCTTCCCTCTCCAATCCACCATCTTTGGGGTCCAGCGTCCTCACTGGCACACAGCCCAATATCTGGCTATAATACCATTTGTAACAGCCCAAGTCCACCACTAGCATATATTATCCTCTTTGGCCCGTTATGTATAGCCGTCAACCTCGCAGTTTTAATACGCATCTGTTAGGGAGAGGTTTCTATACCCTTATAAGAAATGTTTCGTTTTCCTCTCCAACCGATATGAGATTAGTTAAGAATTCAATTTCATAATCATTTAAAGAAGAACGCAGCTGATATGTGTAAGAATTTGAGCCCTCACCTTTGGGACATCCCAAACATTTTTTTCTCCCATAAAGACACTCTATCTTGGGCAATTTGGTGTCTTTGGGTTTCAAAAACTTGAGTTGCTCTTGAACATCTTTCTCCTCTCTGCCTCTCCTAGAAAGAAGTTTCCATACTCTTATAAGAAATGATTTGTTCTCCTCTTTAACAATGTGCGATCTCAAAATCCATCCTACTTGGGAGCCAGCGTCCTTGCTAACACAACGTCCACCATCTTGCTTTAATACTATTTGTAACAACTCAAGCTCACCACTAGTATTTATTGTCCACTTAAGCTCATTACATATCGTCAACAACCTCACAGTTTTAAAACGCGTTTATTGGAGAGAGGTTTTCACATTTTACAAGGAATAATCGGTTCCCCTCTCCAACAAATGTGAGATCTCACACTAGCAATTCAAATGTATAAAATAAAAATGAAAAGCACTCAGCAAAGAATTGACAAGAAAACAAGCATAATTTCTAAAAACAAAAAACCGAAGTCATCAAACAAGATCTAAATAGTTATGAGACGGGAGCTAATGCATTTATTTTGTCCTCTCATCCTAATTTAACTTTTTATTGAAACAAGAACCAAAACTTTTCATTGATGCAAAGCTCCACGAAGTAGCCTCGTAAAGAGATTCAAAATGAGAACCAACATAGAAATGGAAGTATTGCCAATGAAGACATAAATCTTGAATAGAACAAGAGACAGAACACTAGCTTCAACAGTGATTTCTTTGGTTACTTTCATGCCATAATTCAGACACGAGCTTCAACAATGATTTCTTTCAAACATGAAACATAACGAATTCAAGGCAACATCCCAGCAATAAGTAAAAGTGGAAAAAGGCAACAATACCAGCAGATCCATGAGGAACACCATGGGATTCAAATGTCGGTCCAGCATCCAAAATGGAACCCTCACAATCAGGCACCAAATCGTGATTCCCGCCGTTGAAAACGTGCTTCTGCTTTGGGTATCTGGAGGGTAAACCGACCAAGAAATCGATTACTTCTCGGGTATTTGGTCCCCTGTCGCACTAATCGCCAAGAAAATTATGTGGGCGGCGTTGAAATCTGGAGTAAGTAGCCATGGAAGTCGCCGACGCAGCAGACCACTCTGGTTTTGTCCAGATTTTGATCGGAATGCCGCATTGGATTGACGGCTCGTATTTGATTTTGGTTGATCACATATAGAATCATCGAACTACAGAAACCATTGCAATGTTCTTACTCAGATAGTGATTTTTCATCCAACATTTGAACGGTTTTGCACTCTAATTCAGGGCTAAATGGGTAGGGGAACCTAACCTTGTCAGCTTATGATCATTTATGGGTAGCCGATTCAGCTGTTTTTGTTCGTACAACCTCTCCGTCCTGTCCAAGAAATGTTTTGGCAAGCTCCACTTTACAGCAACAAACTACGGAGAGTCTCTTGCCTATGATATTCCTCGACAACACTTCAACTCATATTTTGATATTGGTGTTAAAGGCTAAAAAAAAAAAAAAAAAGTGAATAAATGATCTGACGAACCAAATCAACCCAAAAATATGATGATAAGGTTCGGTTGGATTCATTATTTAATAAGGGTGTGGCTCGAATTCAAATTATTTAATAAGGTTGCTTGGATTGAAAAAATTTACAATCCAAACAGTTGGGTTAGGTCTTAAAAAAAAATCTTACCCCGACCTGACCCAACACACAAACACTTCTATGATTTCTTCCTTAGCAGGATGATTGAATATAAATCTATATTATAGGTACATTTTCGTTTAAACCTTAGCCCTTAATGACCTTCGGCTCGACTTGACTCTTTTGTGTCCCAAAATTCCTTATTTTCATAATCTAGTTTAGGTGAACTCGTTCGATTCGTACAACCTCAATCATAATTTTAGTAGACAATATATCATATATTAGTGTGATGCTTATTGTACCCTCTAATACTGGGTATGTTTTGATTTTTATTTATACAGCTTCTCAACCAAATATAAACCAATTTTGTAGATGCTTTTCATGACGGTCAAAATACATAGGTCTAACAGTCCTAGGTATCCTCAATTTATAAACTAGCTGACCTGAAAGCATAAGAATCTATCGATACTAAGTTTAAGGCTAAATTAATCCCGTAATCAACTAAGCGTGGGTCACCTTGTATTTCGTATAGCTCTATTTCATTCATAACCACTTTAATTATGTGGCATGTTGAATTATTTAATTCTATATTCATAAATGAACATAGACAAGCATCAATCACTTGATTAAAAAGTAAATAATTTTGTAGGGCACGCCCATCAATAAAAATAAAAAATAAATAAAATTCTATTTAAAATTAAAACTTAAATAGGTTAGTTGTTTGGTCATTGTCTTACTAAATTCACACAACCCTATCATATTTTTTATATATTTTTTTTGGTTTTAAATTTTTTTAAAATGTTATACATTTTGTTGTACTTAAAATCTAAAATTTTATTTAATGTTGTTATCAGTTGAATTATCGAGTGCTACAAAAACCATTAAGAGTAGAAGCTCAAAGGGTTAAAAAAGTCATCGAGCCTAAGGATCAGCCACTACGAGCGGGTCCAAGTTGAAGTTGACTTGTTGAGGCCATTGATTCAATTATTTGAGAAATTTTAGCATAAAACATGATATTGACATCGCTATTTTGAATGTTTTGTATCCACGAACCACTCGTCCACGATCAATCACACGTCAATTCCTTCACATAAACACAAAAGAGCGAAACTTTTATTTTGAAGATGCATATAAAATAAAGTTCAATATTTCAACTAATGGAAGATAATAAAAGGTTTGTTCGTGAAAGGTGACTCACATGAGACCAATTTAAAAATAAAAAATCAAATTCCTATTTTAAAAAGGGAATAATATTTACATTTATTTTCCCCAATTTTTTTTTTTTATTTTAGATATTTTTAAAATTTATTTATTTGAGATAGTAAGTTACTTACTACATATATTTTAAGAATATTTTTAATTTTTAAATTTTTTAATATTATTTTTAAGAATATGTTATAAATTACAATCAAGTTGAAATTTAAAATATAAAAAGAAAAAATGATTTTGGTGTTTTTCATAGAAAAAAAAAGAAGCAACTTTTCAACTTCTTTAAACAAAACAAAAGTCGAAGACTATTCGGTCTTCAGTAATACACATTTGGTCAACCCAAAGTTGGTCAACATTCCACTCCACGTGATCCTTCCTCTTCCTTTCCTATATATAATATAATATTATCATTATCAACTATTTTTGTGTACTATTCATTTATTATTATTTTTTGTGGTCCAAGACATTTTCAATTTCGGTTCTACTTTAAATCATTTGGATTTTTTTAAAAAATGACGTGGATATTAACATTTTTATTAAAAATAATTACAAAAAAAAAAAATTCAAATGCATTTTCAACCCAATGTTTTGCCTATCTAAATTAGAAGTTCACACCGAAGACAAATTTGAGTTTAAATGACTCAATAATAATACGCTATAATTTAAATAGTAGATAGTTGTTGTTTGTGTTGCACGACATTGACAATTCAAAAATCTTTGTCAACTATAGTATGAACATTTTTTTTTTTTTTTTTTTTGTTGGAAAGCGGGTTCAATAATTTCTCTAAATTTAATTAGAAATGGAGTTTGATTAATGATAATATAATTTGTGGTAATCATAACCCTTATTTTAATGTGATAATTTACATTTTTTTTTCTAGACTATTTAATATTGCTAAAAATGCCCAAAAAAAAATTATTAAAAGTTTGTACGAAGGGATTTGAATATTTTAAATATTGACAACAAAAATCCAACAAAACAGTGAGTTTTTTTTTAAATAATTCCGACACGACATGTCGGTTTATCTTAATTATATCCACCTGCTTTTAAAATAATGTTTTTTTTGTTTTAGTTTTTTAAGATTATGTGAATAAATATTATTTCTATATTATTATATTATCTAATAAAAAATATTAGGTAAAAAATTTTAATAAAAGGAATATATATATATATATATATATTTTTTTTGTAGGGGTGACTAAAATTATTAGTGTAAAACATCTGGCTGTGCTGTACAGACATGAATTAAAGTAATGGTCCATAAATACACCCTTTTGCACACACTCCCGTCGTCTTCTTCCTCCCTCTCTGATAACAGTTTCAGAATCCTCTGTTTTCACTCTCAAGCTCCATTAATGGAGGTTCATTCTCAGACCCTTTCTTCTTCCTTGAAACATTCTTCATTTCCACACCCTCTCAACTCCCACGCTGTATTCCCTCCTTCTGACCATCAACAACCCTCTTCCTCCGCCGACTCTCCGCCCACTGACGCCGTCTGCATGCCCTTCTCCTCTGCCGCTGACCCTTCAAATGGGGTTGCGAAACTGACCCAGGTGATCAAAGAAGGTGGGGATGAGGTGAACTTGGCACGGCAGCGCTCGGCTGTGAAGCTGCAGAAAGTGTACAGGAGCTACAGGACTCGCCGGCTGTTGGCGGACTCTGCCGTCGTCGCTGAAGAGCTCTGGTGAAATTCACTGTCTGATTATGTTTTTTTTTTTGTCTGAAAATGGGGAATTTCGATTTACTGATGATGGCCGTGAAATTTTTTGAAGGTGGTTTGCGATTGATTATGCTAGATTGAATCATAGTACGATTTCGTTCTTTAATTTCTTGAAACCTGAAACGGCTGCTTCTCGGTGGAATCGTGTTGCTTTGAATGCTTCAAAGGTTTAGTTTCTGAGCTGTTTTGCTTCACATTTAGGGACTTGAAAATGGGTTTAAATGGATGAACTTGAGCGTTTTTTCAGGTGGGAAAGGGGCTGTCGAAGGATGCTAAAGCTCAGAAACTGGCTTTTCAGCATTGGATCGAAGCTGTAAGTGGAAGCTTTGTTGGAAAATCTCAAGAACAGTGTTGTGTTTTGATTTGTTGTTTTTTTTCCCCCTTTTCAGATTGATCCTAGACATAGATATGGACATAGTTTGCATTTGTATTATGAAGAATGGTGTAAAGCAGATGCTGGTCAGCCATTTTTCTACTGGTAATTGCTTTTTATTTTAAGGTTGTTTCTGTCGGCTCTTTTTTTTGTTGTTCTGATTTGAAATGATCTGTTCTTCATTGTCGTGTTGGAGTTTGGATCTCTGTTTTTCTACGAAATATGTCTGAATCAAGAGTTTTGAAGGGTTGTCTCTGAAACGTTTTGCAGTTTATATCCATTTTAGTGACTAAATTTTTGCACAGTTCACTTGATCTTAAAGATCATAAGATGAGTTTTGTATGTTTTGGTTCATCCTTGTACATTTCATATGTTCATATGATCAACAAGAATCTGGATGGGATCTCTATGTGTAACTGTCCAAGCCCAGCAAATATTGTTCTCTTTGTGCTTTCCCTTAACGTTTTTAAAACGCGTCTGCTATGGAGAGGTTCTCCTCCCCAACCGATGTGGGATCTCACAATCCACCCCCTTCGGGGCCCTATAAATAATGCTTCGTTCTCCTCCCCTATTGATGTGGGATCTCACAATCCACCCCTTTGAGGACTGGGGCCCAGCTTCTTCACTAACACTCGTTTCCTTCTCCAATCGATGTGGGACCCCTCAATCCACCTCTCTTCGGTGCCCATCGTCCTTGCTGGCACACCATCTCGTGTCCACCCCCCTTCCAAGAATAGCCTCATTGTTGGGACATCGCCCATCGCCCGGTGTCTGGCTTTGGTATACCATTAGTAACAGTTCAAGCCCTAGTAGATATTGTTCTCTTTTGGCTTTCTTTTTCGGGTTTTCCTTCAAGATCTTTAAAATGCGTCAGCTAGTTTGAGGTTTCCACATTCTTATAAAGAATGCTTCGTTCTCCTCCTCAACTGAGGTGGGATCTCATACTCTATCTCGTTGGCTTCAAAAGTATTTAAAGATCTTATTTTAACTGCTGAAACATGCATCAAAAGTCACAGTGAATGAATAAAATCTGGTTTCCATTAGGGATTTACCATTAATGAATTAACATTTACATCATTGCCAAGAGGTTTTGCTGCAGATCCTTGCAATTTGTTGTCTGAGTTTCTTGCTATTCAAACTTTGCAGGCTTGATGTTGGAGACGGCAAAGATGTCGACCTTAAAGAATGCCCGAGATTGAAGCTTCGGCAGCAAACCATCAAGTATCTCGGACCTGTATGTCGACTTTTTATCCTATCTCGCTTGTTTTTTTTTCCCTCTCTTCCTCACTTTACCGTCAAGCTAACTTTAACTTGTCGATATCAGCAAGAGCGAGACAGCTACGAATATGTTGTTGTAGACGGGAAAATCGTCCATAAACAAAGCGGAGCTTTCCTTGATACCAAGAGGGGACCGAATGGGACGAAATGGATATTTGTAATGAGCAC